TGAGATCCTCTGTTGAAATGTGCTGAAGAAGGGCAAAGGGCTGGACTCATTCAGCCATTACTGCTTATTTCTTTGACTTAAACTCGTCGCCATTGCAGGAGTAATAAACCGTACGACAATTAGTGTTCTTGAGGTATGTTCCTGGCTACCCCATGTTGTGTATGGGTTACAGTATTCAGGAGGACACTGAATTTATGGGATTTTAGAGCATGGCTCCTGAAAGCTGCAAGTTGGCTCAGCTGCTACTGAGATCAGAGGGAGATGAAAGGTTCCTCAGCGCAGCACTGCTTCCTTTCCTACCAGCAGCCTCCACTCGGCCAGTAGAGAACGCAGGTGTTGATATTTTATTGTCTCCCACTCAACTCTGGGTAATGCACAGCGTGATATCTAGACAGCTAGGTAGAAGAAAAGCCTATGAAATAGCTCCTGATCAAAGTATGAGCTAAAATCTTAAAGGTTGAGGATGGAATAAACAGCTTGTAAGGCAAGTTTCCATGGGTGTATATATATATATATAGGCAAATCTGAGTGTGTTCTGTGTATGTTTTGTATTAACGCCGGAAAGGTGCAGTGCTAACGTAGCTGTCCTGCTATATTATAACTGGGTCTGTCTGCATGTGTCCATGTGGATTGCCTGTGAGTTAATAGCATGCTCCTAAATCTTCAAGTGCTACTGAAGTCATGTTGTGACCTCAGATAGAAGAGACACTTTGAAAAAAAGAACTAGAAGGAAAAAAAGAGCGAGTTTTAAATCTCTTTAATTGTTTTCTTCTGAGCTAAGAAATCCAAAAGATTTCAAGTGACGTTGCCTAGTACTAAAAAAAGACATGATTTCAACTGACAGCGCAGCATCTCTCTTTACCAGATTTGTCTAGCCAAATTATAAACCCTGGAGTATTCTTCTTCTCCTCATTCTGAACAGATTTCCACAACCCCCACCCTGCCAAACGATCTTGCTATGCAGCTGCAGCCTTTATATTCTGCTACAGTGCAGAATTATGCATGAACCAGCAGAAGGAGCTCCAAGTCTGGTCATGGGCGTATAGCTGCTTTCTTACACCTTGGAAAGGCAGCGCAGCAGCTGTGTCTAGAAATCATTACTTATCTATCGATTCTTTCCCTTTGCGCTCTGAATTCTGTTCGCCAAGCAGCCCAAAATTGCATTGGAAAAGAGCTTTGCTCATTTCTTTCTGTTGAATTGCCATGGAGTTATGGCTTTGCATATTAAAAAAAATCCCTCGAGACAATTTTGCACAACGGCCCCTAATTCTGATGAGGGAGCAAACCACTTCAGAGCAGAGCAGAAAAATACCAACCTGTCATACTTTTTCCCAGAATTGTTCTTTCTCAGGATTTGCAGATGTGCAGATTAGGTGAATCTCCCTCCTTCCCCCCCCCAGTTCCTGTGTTCCGCCTTGTCAAGAACATGGGTATGTCCAAAAGAAAAAAAAAAAAGCCATTCTTGGGGCACCTCAAGCTATTGCAAAGTGCTGCATCACAGTTTCACAAGAAAATGTATTCTTACGGAATTATCAGCCTGACTTGCCAGAGCACAAATGTTTTTATTTGCATGCCCACAAACAGACGGTAATTATGCATGCCACTGAGATCCGCAGTCTTGATCATTCAGGCCGTGGAGGCCATTTGATAAATGTGATAAATATGCAAACCTTCGGCTGCTTATTCAAGTGGAACCAGCCAGGAGCTTTTGACGTTCGTCCAGCTGAGATGGTAATGCCAGTAGCCTAGATCCTCAAGCAGGGCCTCACAAACAACTTTGAGAATATGGGTCTGAGCTTCTTTACTGAGGGAAGTGGCAGTGTGTGCATGGGTATGTTTCAAGCAAGGATAGACATTTTTCAGGAGTTTGGACCAAAAAGGCTATTTTGGGAAAGAACTGAATGGGGTTTGCTAGTGATCTGGCCAGGGGAGTCTGCCTTTTTTCTCTTTTGGAGAAGACAGACTATGGATTACATTCTTTGCAGTGTAACTCCGTCAGTGTCAGTGGACTTCAGCCAGACTGTCCTTTCTCTACTGCTTCAGCCTTCCAAGTGCATAACATTCTGCTGATCCAGGAGATCTCTTAGCATTTCTGTATCATGATTAAAATACATTAGTTCACCCTCCACAAATTGGTATAGAGACAATAAAGAGCTCAGCCCAGCTCAGCGTGGCAGACCGGATGCATCACAAAGCTGACTGCTGCTCTGCAGCCACAGGATGCAAAAGACATTGGGCCATGTCATTAAAGCAATGTGGTTTTAAGGTCTTCCAAAGCTAGAAACAATTGCTGAATGTCCCTTAGTAGCAGCTTTAGATTCACGGCTCTTTTGTGTTGTAGAACGTTAGTTAGTCATCTTGGTGGCACAAGGACTATTTGCCTTTGAAGTAATTCCTGAGCCTTTGGGTCAGTCGAAGATCCAAACCACTTACCAGACAGAAGAAGATGTATTTCCCAACTCTAGCCACGTGAGGGACCTGTACCAGATCCTAACCTTCCCACAGATCCTAAAAATCCTCACCAGTCTCTGCTGGGAAAAATGGCCACGGCACTAAAGGCTGGTGGCCTCCAGGAGAATGTCTACACTCTTGTATGGGTTCAGGGCTAGAGTTTGCCCTCCAGAGCAGACTCTGCAGTTGGTTACACTGCCCGCACGTTGACCTGCCTTCCAGCAAGGCAACTCAGAGCAGGACAGTGGCAGAAGGAGGGATGGAAGAGGTAGGGCAGAGATGAGCTCAAGCCCATGCTCTACTCTTACGGGACGTCATTGGCTTAACTCACATAGTGTGGTAAATTCAAATTGGCGGTTGGGGCCTGCCAACAAGGATGGTACAAAAGTTGTCTCGAGTATCCTAGAACTGACCCTGTCCGGCTTTGACCCCAGGACAGCAAGGGCTCTGGGGCTGCACTCTGCTCTGCAGGCTTTCTGTGGGAAGAGAGGAGTTGGGAAAGACAGAGTAGAAAACTTGTTGATGAGTAACTCTGTTCCAGCATACAGATACAAATGCAGAACATCTCCAGGTTATTCTTTTCAAATAAGTTTGAAATATGAACTGTGATGAATGTGTTAATAAGTATGAATCACAGGGCGGTTTTTGTCCACCGTAAGGAAAGGTCTTGGTTACTCCGTACAGTGGACAGAGAGCTGCATGATTTGATGGTATTTGCTGTAAAGAAGGAGAAATCAGTTAGACACAGTCAAGATGATATCTCCGTTTGGTCTGCACCTTTTGAGGATTTTAACAACCCTTGATTGGTAAATTCTATAGCAAGGGGAAGCGAATTAATTCTCTTTCCTAAAGCCGTACTAAAGCCTTAGCTTTGTATCTGAAAGAGATCCTGAATTATAATGCGGCAACGTATAAAAGTTGTCTGATGAGCTCCGTGAGTGCACTTTGTGAGGCTTTTTCCTTTGTCTGTAAGTACTCGACTGTGTGCAGCCTTCCTGTGCCCGGGCCGGCCAGCGCTGGGCCCGCAAAGCATGTGTTTGTGTGTGGGTAGGAACCGCTAACTGAATGCAGAGTCGCATTTCTTTTACACACGTTGCTGTGGTACCTGGGTGCTAATCACCATATTTTGCCTTCTCTAGCACCTTCCCAGCCGAGGATCTCAAAGTGTTTTACAAACATTAATTAATTTAGCTTCACAACCCTCGTGTGAGGTAGGTGGGTAATGCCATCCCGCTTTCCAGATGAGGACACTGATCTACTTGGGTAGAGTCGCCTCGCTCCTGCGGTTAAAACCAGGGGAGGCAATGGCCTCGAGATGGCCCTTGCGAAGCCTGCCACCCGTCACGCGGCCGGGGCTGCCCTCCCCGCAGAAGGAAGAGCAGTTCTGCATGCAGCAGAGGGGATCCAGAGATGGCCAGAGCTTACAGCAACCTGCTTCAGAGCCCTGCTCCTCTCTCTTCTTCCTGCCCTTCTCTGGAGTTGTGGTTTCCAGACGATCACGCTACCCTGAGGCTGAAGGAGGGATTATCCCTCGTCAGTGGAGTTGCGGGGAAGGAAGTACAGAAGTAGCTATATTACTGTTCCCTGTAGTCTACACTTTGGCGGTGACATGCCTCCTTTCTGTTCCACGTCCATTCACCCAGAGCCACCCTTTCTACACCATCCTTTACAACAGGTTGTGTAGGTCCCAGCTTGCTGAAGCTCCCCCTTTCCGTGGGAAAGCTGTAAGGGCAGCATCCCCTCACCGCGTTCCTGCACAGGAGCTGTGACTCACGTTTGTGGGAATTACGCGTCTAGAGCCTGAAAGCGTAGCCTTGCCAGTCCATCCATTGCTACCAGTTTGGATTGAGCAGAATCAGCCTTTTCTGCGTTGCGTGCAGCCGTTTTTGGCTGCAACCAGACTGGTAAATTTAAAATGAACCCTATGGAAAAGTCCTACAAACTTTCCTAAAGAAAATAATGAGTCGCCCTTTGTATTAGGCAGAATAGCGCTGAAGCGGCACGGGTCCCTGCAGCGTAGCTCTTCCTCCAAAGCAGCTCTGCTCCGTTCTGGTGCAGGAACCGGTGCCGAGTGGTCCTCGGGGTCGCGCTGCTCGGGGCTGGTCACCGGGGCATGCTGGGGCAAAACCTCTTTCCAAGCGTAGCTGGGAGGGAGGGTGAAAACGAGCTTGGAAACAGCAAGTGTTAAATTTGCGAGCGGGTTGAATGATGCAGTTGTCTGCCTTCGTCTGACCAGATTGATACTGCACATGGCCTGGCCGTGTTTGTGCCTCGTTAGGTCACAGAGGACTTTTCCATGAGGGCAGGCAAAACTCTGCCAATACAAAAGTAATGGATCTTTTCCCAATCTTCAACTCGTGGTCTAGTGTAGGTAGGCTCTGAGCTGAGAGTTCAGGCAGCTGCTGCGTTCCTCCGTCTCTAGCACATCTCCCTGTTGTTTGGGACCCTGGTTATTAAGTGATAAGAAGCGATAGCATGACAAAGAAAGACTATTGACCCAATTGCACTTTGACTGATCTGTTTCTTTTTCCCCCCAATCATCGATGCAGGTGTGAGCTACTCCAAGTCGGTTCCTCCAGCCTACCCACCACCCCAGGATCCATTAAATCAGGGACAATACATGGTGACAGATGGCATATCCCAGTCCCAGGTCTTCGAGTTCACCGAACCCAGACGCAGCCAGGCACCATTCTGGCAAAACTTCAGCAGGTTAACACCATTCAAAAAATAATACCTAGAGAGATGGAGAATTTTAACTTAAAAGAACTAAAATTTAAAAATAAAAATAAATAAAATTATATTTATAGATGGACCTTTTTTCGGAGAAGCACTGTTGCAACTAAATATATATACATATATATATATACACACACATTTTAAAAATAATAATATATATACATATATGTATATATATAGAAGGACCAAAAACTTTTTTTGTTGTTTTTGGGAAGCAATCTGCTACTAGATACTAGGAAGCACCAATGATTTCTAACCATGTGACCTATTTTATTTTATTCCATTGGTCGGACATCTTTTTTTCTTTTTTTTTTTCCTTTTCTTCTTCATTTTCATTCAAGTCGTCATTGGCATCCCAGAATGCTTTCTCGCTTGTGTGAATTCGTCATCGAAGTTCCTCATGGACTACATTGGTGTATATTTTGTTGGTCTTTATTTGGGGGGGGGGGGGGGTGTTTGTTTTTTGGAGTGCCGGGAGATCTCCGCTCCCTCTCCCTCCCTCTCCGCCCCTTCCTTGGCTGTCCCCGGAGTTATCATTTCAATGAAGAGCATCGACCCTTTCCCCGTCCCCGTCCTGCATTCTCTGGTCTGACTCGTGCCTGTCTGGATGTGCTCCCTTGTGCACCATGCTCTGCTGCGCAGTATTTCTCTGGCTTTACCTGTTTTGTTGTGGGCTGGTGAGAACGAGCAGAAGGGGTATCAGCTATTTAGGAAGTGAGAGATGGGTTTTCCTTGGTTAATTTTTTGCATTTTTTTTTTAAGCACTGTCTTTTTCTCAATTCAGTGTGATCTGTTCACACTCGGAGTAAGACTGAGAAAAGAATATCAGGGGCTTTTAGTTCTTTTGCATTTAGTTTTTGTTTCTGTGGTGTTATCTTTGATTTATTTTCTTTTTAAGCTGAGACACGACTCTGAAAAGCCCACTCCTATCTTTGTTCTCCATGCAAAGATAAAAGCTTAAAAACTGGTGGCTTCATGCCCTCCATTCCAGCTAGAGGAAAATTGGCTATTAGGCTCCAACAAATGGCCAGTTTTCTTTCTTCAGGAACTAAGGTCCCATCCTGTTGGCCACACTCACGCCTGCACAGTACTGCGTTAATGAACCACTAACTGCCACTTACAGGAGCAATGATCCCAAAAGCGAGGACCATGACTGCACTCGCTGCCTGCTCTACTCTAGTGCATGTAAGATCCCTGGCTTCACTTGGGCACTGACCTCCCAAGCAGAACATGAGCTGCCGGTAGTGACCCGTTAGCGGAAGGATCATTGCCTAAGTCATTGGAAGTATTTACCTGATATTTAACACACCCGAGCTGCAGAGGAGTTGAGAACTGCCTTTCAGGAGAGATACGGATGTGACCTGAGAAGTTTAGCCGTATGACCTAATCTAAATCAGCGATCAGTTTAATCTAAACGGCATCAATGGTTCAGCA